CCAAGAAGGGACTAGTCGTTACCAAAGGGGTGGGGTGGGGATAGGGTAGGGTGGGTGGGGAGCGAGGGAGAAGGGGATTGTGGGGTATCATGATTGGTGCACATAGTGTGTGTGGGGTCATGGAGGAGATAGTATAGCTCAGAGAAGAAAAATAGGGACTCTGTGGCATCTTACTACACTTATGGACAGTGACTGCAATGGGGTATGGTGGGGGGGACTCAATAATAAGGGTGAATATAATGACCACATTGTTTTTCTTGTGAAACCTTCATAAAAGTGTACTTCAATGAGACCTTAATAAAAAAATAAATTTAAAAAAAAGAATTGATAATAGTAGTTTGGAGGGTAGGCTGGGAGTAAAAGGAACAGTTTTAGTTTGGGTATTTTTGTACTACTTGGGTTTTTGTTTCAAGTATGAATTACTTCCATAATTTAAAAAAGTTGTAGACGTAATATTAAAAATCAGATGCTAAACAGAGACACTATCTATTATTCTAAATGTAAGTTTTTTTAAGTTGTGGCTTATAGAAATTGTACATTTCTTCTGAAATCTAAGCCTCCTCTAAATTATATGGTAGAATGCTATTCAAGATGCATCCACAGACCAGTGTTAGACCATGAACTGTTTATTAGGCTAGCCCACTATGAGGTAACTAGAGAATCTGAAAGCAAGCATTTGTAAACTTTTAGAGTAAATTGCCATGACATCTTTATTGAATTCTTTAAAAGTTTCATTCCTCAATGGATGGGAAATGAAAAAAAACTGGTCCTTTACCACAGTTAGCTTGCAAAGCACTTATGTTGTCAATACAGAAAAGACACATTCAATTAAAAGGCTGTTCCCATCATCAGAAACTCTTCAGGCGACTTTAAGAGGGAGCATCAGTGACGGGTATGCAGGCCACGGCATGAGCCGAGCTGACATCATACGACCTACCTATCTCCCTGGGTCACATGGGATGCCAGGGGTCAGTTAATAGACGCCCCTGTGACAGGCCAGGGAAAGGAGGCTGAGGGTCTTTGGATCCCCACCAGTGCGAGAAGACCCCTTCCACTGTGAATAGGTTTCAGTGGCAGATGTGATGCAGTGAAACAAACACGGGCTCTGCAATCAGCAGGCTGAGGCATATGTCTGGATGCCAGTGCCTAACAGCAATATTCTCTTTGACACATGACTTGACCTCTCCCAGTCTCAGTGCCACATCTAGAAAAAGATGACAATAATCCCTATCTTATGGGATTTCTGTGAAAACTCAAGGCAAGAGGTGTCTTGAATTTTCATAAAGATCTACTATATATACATACAGATTTATATACCCTACACACACACACACACACAGACACACACACACACACGCACATTTTTTTTTTGGCAAAAGGGAAGTCACATAGATAGACTCATGTACTGGCATGTAAACTTATGGCTCCTGACCAATACATGAGCTAGGAAATACGGGACCACTAATTTGTTTTGACTACACATGCATCAAAATTGCTTTAGAGAATACTTAAAAGAGGCTATTATACTGAGTCAGCAAATTTTGTCATGAAAAAAGCCTCGTGTCAAGAATACATTGGAGAAAAATGGCAACACACAAAGAATGCCAACCGTAACCACAACCCAGGGCTTAGGTGCAGAACTGCGGTTACCTCCTGGCTCAATTTAAAGCTGTTCTAAGATCACTGGACTCCTGAGAAGCACAAGATGCAGGGCAAAGCATCTGAGCAGGAGAGGAAAATAAGCAGGTGGCTTCAGTAGAGAGCTTCTCATTCCCTCCAATAGGCTAGTGCTCTTCAAGGGCACAGAGGTGAAATGTCGTCACCGGTGGGAGCTCGGAAGAGAGGCGGCAGATGGCACTAGGAGTAACAAAGCCCTTGGTAATCTGAGCCGTTCCACATCCGGGTCTACCCACCAGGGGCAAGGGGGCAGTGGACACCAGCACGTGGATCTGGCTCTAGTAGTGGAGTGACTACTAAGCCCTGAAGGCCTATAGGCCTGTGTGTCTGGCCTAGAGCTACATCCCAGGCAATGCAAACAGACGCATTTCTCCTGCCAGACCCACAGAGATTGTTAGCCAAGAGCTCCTCACATTTGGATTAACTCTGCCATCGTGGGGAACAGAAAGGCCTTGTGAAAATAGGAGATCTGAGCTGAAAGCTCAGAGGGCTTTGGAAATCTCGACCACAGTTCAAGTCAACTCCCTGTCTGGGAGAACCGGCAGGATGTTTGCAGTCATTTAGGAGAAGAACTAAAAGTTTGCTAAGGTGAAAACTAGATGACTTCCTTTCCATCCTGCCATCAGCTCTCAGGTTTAAGAGTGAATTTCCAAATGATTTATTTAAATAAATAATGACTTCATATTCCATATTTTTTTGGGTGGCCTAAGTTTCTAATATTCTGAACCCTGCTCAGACCATAACTCAGAAAATGTGTTCAGGTGTTTCATTCAAAATGAACAACAGCGGTCAGCAGACTTAAAAGACTGGCAGGTCTCAAACACACAATTGAGGGTTTTCAGAACAATCTCTCTAATTTCTACCTCTCAACTCTGGTCAAAAAAGACCCAGTGTCCAGACCAACAATTTATTGATACACAGGTAAAATCATCAGATTACAGATTTCATGTCATTTTACTACCAAGCCAAACACATGCAAACGAGGTTGCTGGGGAGAATCCTTCCCCAAAGTTGGAGCACTGCCAAGGCAGACAGTTTTACCAGAAGGACAGGGTATGGAGAGGTGTGGGGGCTTGAGCGGCAAGGGTAGGTCCTGTCCCTCTTCACAGCCAGCTCCCCACCTCTGGGGACCCTGCCCCGCCCCCAGGAGAGGCACACAGCTTCCCCCGCTTCCCAGAGGAAAGGGCTGCCCAGGGGAGTGCCACAGCCTCAATGGAAATGCGAGACAACGGGGCTCTCCTGCCCGAGCAGCAAAGCCCTGCAGTGGGAAGCGCACACCTGGACCCAGGAGGACGCTCAGCAACAAGCCTCCTAATGGCTTCTCCTTACTTTTGGAAATACAGCATTAGTATAGGATGTACAATTAAGCTATTTACCTGGCAATGCCATCCTTAATCCTAACCTAACCCATTTTCCTATCTCCTCCTTCCTCCCAGCCCAGGGTGCCCTAAAGATCCAGACTTTCAGGAAATAGTCAATCTCCACATATGGTAGAACATTTCTGTGAAGATGAATCCTTCCCAAAGGAGAGGCCCACTGGAGCACTCCCCAGTGTGGCCCTAAAGAAAGAGGGGGTATTATGTGGATAAACTAAAGTACACATTTTTTGTATATATTGAATGTAGTGTTTCTCTCCTCCGACAGTGGTGACCGAATCCTCTCTTCCCAGACACAGCCTTCGCCTGGGCTCTCCCAGCCCCCAGACAGACAGACAACGCCGTGGGCAAATTGGTGAGGCATGTCTTATAACTGAAGGTGTCTTCAAATCCACGTTTAGGATGCTCCCCCAACGTGTGGCTGTGCTCACAGAACAAGGTCATCAGCTCCAAAGTATACGCCTGCTTCCACTCCCACTGCCACAGGGAAGCACGCGTTTGGCAGTTTGAGAATCCTAGTCAAGGAAACGACTGATGGGATGTGACCTGCTCTGTTCTTTTTGGAAAGTAATCCGACAGAAACTCATGAAAAGTTTTTCAACGTCAAACTTTCAAAAAAGTTGCAAAAATAATACATATTAGATAAACTCTACCACCTCTCACCTAGATTCACTAATTGTTAACATGTTGCCTCATTTGCTTTATCTCTATGTATGTAATTATATTATCTACACTCCTTTCTCGGAACCACTTGAGAGTAAAATGCAGATATTATGACTCTTCACTCCTAAATTCTTTAGCATGTTATTTCCCAAGAATAAAAGCATCCTCTTGCATAATGATAAAATTACTACATTCAGCAAATTTATCACTGGTACAAGAGTATTACATATACAGTCCACATTCAACATTGGCTAATTATCCCAATATTGGTTTTATGGCAATTTTTTCTTGGTCCAGGATCAGGCATTGCACTCAGATATTATGCCCTAAACACTGAAACAAGCACACCATTGACAACAATCCCCATATCTACAGAAAGAAAAGCACTGGTATATATGGGGATTTTAGATATATTAGATAAAAATGTATGTGTTTACAGTACCGTTATTTGTAGTAGCAAAAATCTGGAAACAACCTAAAAGGCCATCGTAAGGGACTTATTGAAAAATATTGTGGTACATCCAGACTCTGGATGCTGCTTGCATGTCGACATGATAGTATTTCAGGTATACTAAGTTAAAACATGTTTTTTAAAAGAATTTCACTTCTTTTTTTTAATGTAGCTACTAGAGAATGTAAAATTGCACAGGTGGTTCAGATTACATTTCTGTTGGATAGCTCTGGTCTAGAAGGTCAGAAGGCCCTGCTCTTGAATCCCACATAGATAGTGCCACACTATCTGTGCAACGTGACTTTCCTCTCTACTGACCTGCTCATCAGTACACAATAATAAACATACCTAGCTTATAAGACTGTTGAGAAAAGTAAGTCACCTAATTCATGTAAAACATTCAGCACAAGACCTAGACATAGCTGGTGTTCAAAATGTACACTACCCTTATTATTACATTCAGCATTAGGCGAATAATAAGGAAAGAAAGGCTTCAGACCTGGCTGTACAATGCAGGCAAAAGAAATTAATGTCTCAGATCCTTAGTTTCTTTATTAGAAAATTGGGAGCTAATAATCTACCTCATCAGGTTGCTCTGAGGACTGAATTCTTTCAGGCAACATGTATTTACTGAACACCTACTATGACCTGGGCACGATTCTGGGTACTGGGTCTAGATTAACGAGCAAATCAGATGAAGTTCCTGTCCTTAGGGAGTTTGTATTTCAGTGGAGGGGCTATACCATAAAAAGTACTATTATATAATGTGATGTTGGGTAGTAGTAAGAGAGATGAAGAAAACAGAACAGGGAAAGGGAAGAGAGAGTGATGGAGAGATGCTGCTTCAGACCATGAAAGTCCTCTTCAGGGACTGACACTTGAACAGAGGCAGAGACATGTACAGAAGAGCCCTTAGGACTGCAGGGCCCTGAGGCAGATGGCGGGTGAACCGGGGAAGAAAGAGGCAGCCAAAGCATAGCTGGGGGCAGGGAGATGAGGCCGAAGAGGAGGCCGGGAGGGACCACAGTGGGCTTGAAGACCTGGGAGGAACTCGGGTCTCACACCCATGTGATGGAGCCACTAGACTTCCACACAGTTTTCAAAAGGATTCCTGGGACACACTGGAAGAGATGATGCACGTGGCGGGTTCAGCATGGCCTGGCACAAAGTAAGCGTGGGAGCCAATGACATCAGAGCCACAACGTGGAGCCTGGTGAGGGCTGGAGGTGCCCTGGAGGGCACAAAACCTGTTACAGCAAGGGGGCCAGAGAAGAAGGGGGCCTGATGGGAAATGCTTCCATGTTCTATGGAGAAATACAATCTGGGACAGCGCCTGCATCCAGGCTCAAGGTCACTACAGAGCCAGCACACTCCCTCCAGCCTCCAAGTGCAAAGGGAAGAAACTGAGTCACAGCTGGACGCGGACCCAGCTGGGCTCCACCACGGGAAACAGTCTTCAGCCAGACCCACAGCAACATGCTGACTGAAGAGAAGACAACTTTCTAAAAAGGTGTGATTACAAAAATTGCCCAAGTAAAATTATCTTTGTAGAAAATAGTCATTGTAAAAACATAGGAAGTACAAAAACATTAAACTCCAATTACCTAGAATCCTACAACCAGTAAACAGTATGTTCAGTTGCATATATCCAGGTATTTATGAATATGTAAACATCAAATCTAGACTTTTTTATGTAAATATGTGTGTGTTGTACATGCTCTTTAGAAAACAGCATTATTCTCCATAAATTGTGCTAGAACCTGCTCCTTTCACTTACTATTCAGGTGGTTCATTTCTAAATTGACAGTATCCTTTTTAATGTGCATGGTTTTGCATAAAGAATATTCTATTCAAAAATCCCCTATCGTTGGGTATATGGGGGTTACTAACCTGAAAAAAAAGCCCTGAGCGTGACCCTCTCTAGTGCCCGTGTGGTGCCCAGCCACCCCATCAGCTCTGTTACTTACAGCAAATTCCTCAGGAGTCACTTTCAAGACATCGAAGACAACGGCGTCATAGCTCTTGCTGGCATAGTCGCAGCTCTGGCCCTCCAGAGAGTCTGAGCTGCTGCTGCCCTAGGGAAAGGACGGGAGATACGGTGCCGCCTGAGTAGTCTGCGGACTCCAGAACCGCTCACTCCCAAATCTCCGACACGAGGCCACAAGAGTGACAGTGTACAAAGGCACAGCTTCTGCTGCCTGGCGCTTCGTGCCACCCCAGGCACTCTGTGAAGCGCTTCATATGTACGATCTCATTTAATCCTCACAGGAACTCTCTGAGTGCACACTATCATTATTCCCCCTTTACTCAACAGGCAGGAGGGGCGATGTGACTTCCCCAGGGTATCTCAGCTAGGAAACTAAAGAGACCACAGGTCAACCTAGTTCCACAGCTACCTGACCCCAGAGCACATACCCTCACGCACTACTCTCAACTGCTTCCAACTGGCTGTGTAGAGGTGGGTGGAAAGATAAGCCCATGCTTCCTTCAGAGAGAACAGGCCTTCACACCTCCAGAGGCCTGAGGGGATCATCTGTTTTGTTACTCTTGCAAACATTACCTAGTTTCACCTTTTTTTTCTACTGGAAGTCATGGCAGGAAATTTCATGTATGGACCAGTTGAAATACAAAGCCTATTAGCTGATGAGGTGAGAGGTAACCAGTTGGCTTTGGAGAAAACTGTATTTAGTAGAGTCCCTTGTTAAGAAGAACATATGAGTCCTACATGTAAGAAAAAAGGTAGCCCACAAAAGAGCAGGTTAAAACCCCCAGTGTGGCCAGTTTCATGAAACCCAACACTGTGATGCTCCCAGAATGCTGAAAACACCTTTTTTATTTTAATTTCATCAGATTCTACTTTGGGGAACCAGTTGAGCTTACCACCCAAAAATTGCACCCCATTCACAAATGGTTTTACTTGTCTCAACCCATGAAGGGGGATTTTGTGGTTTCCATTAACCTCAACATGTTGGACTGGGACTTAGAGAATATGCTTTTATTAATTCCTCTTATTTCACTCTTTACAAAATGGCTCTACCTGGAAAAACTTTGCAATCTTACTGGAAACTAGAGTGTTTTAGGCCAGTGAGGGCAATTAATAGTCAACAACTGAAAACATGAGGTTAAAAGGAGGAGCGGAAACTTGAACCTGCAGATTCCAGTAGGCCCAGTCATCTGAAGGCTTTACAAATGAGGCTGTTACACTGAAGCTCAGAAACGGGCTTAGAAGTGGTGTGTGCAGTGTGAGCAGCTCTAAAGCCAGACGGGCTTGGTGAAAGTGCCAGCCCCACACACTGCTGTCTGACCTCAGGCAAGCCGTTCCTTGAACTGAATCTCAGTTATCACCTGTGAAATGGCACTACAAGAACCTACTCCCAGGTTGTGTTTGGGTTATACACAGTGAAGTTCTACAAAGCAACTGGCAGCATGCCCCTCCGAAGGAGATGCCGATTCAAGGACGGCCTAGCAGGCTCAGGCATGACTATTTTTAAAGTCCTATAGGTGATGGGACAATCTCCCCTGAGGAGGATCTGTGTTAAAAGACTGATCCTGAATGCCTCTGAACGGGCAGTGTACTCTGCTCACAGTCTTATACAGAGAGGCTGAACAGACGATTGCCTATAAATCACTCTGCACTTCCAGGAAGCAGATGGGATGGGGTGACGGGGCTGGTTTTCTTCAAGACAGTGTAGTGTCATCATGATCCGCAGCACTGGCTGACGGTCACCAAGGCCTGGCTTGGAATCTCCACCCATCACTGACCAGCTGTGTGGCTGAAGCCATTTTATTCCCTTCACCCTGTCAGTTTCCTCACCTCCAGGTTCCAGGTGAAGCAACAGGACACACCTGATAGGGTCACTGTGAGGATCAAGGGAGATGATGTCTGAGGAATGTGCAAAAATGGGCCTGGCACAGAGTGAGCACTACATTATGGGTGTCTACGTGTATAAATGTGTCACCCAGTCCCAAAAGCATACAGAGCACCTCCATTATACGTGTATTTATTCATTCATTCATTCAACAGATATTTATTGAGCATTTACCATGTTCCAGATACACATATATGTACATATGTGTATATATATACATATGTATAAATATATGCAGAATATATATGTGCAAATGTGTGCACAGATGTATATATATATACAAACATATATACACACACAGACAAGAAATGAAAGAAGTTTTACTCTAAATGGAGTACAAATTGTAAATGTGAATAAAGTCTGATTCCTCTAGTTATCAGAGTCCATTCCTGAGATTTCAGGTTTTATAACTTTT